AGGGGGGGCAGCGGGGTAGGGTGGTGCATACAATATGTACATCGATTATGGTTTTCTCACAGTGTGAGTTATTGCTTGTTTTAATGTTTGTTGGTTTTTTTGTTTGAAAAAAAAAGGGGGGGGGGCCGGTACTCCTGACAGTCAACAACACGAATTTGCTTGTGTTTTGGATTCCACCACGAGTGATCTGTTAGTTAGCTTGTGCCAGTAAGAAGGACTGCATTTCACGAGAATTCAGAAGCAGTTAGGTAAGCAGAAAGAAGCAGTATTTTATAAAAAGCCTCTAACAACAAGAAAAATATTCCCTTTGTTAAAGGCATAACCATATTATAAATTGTGCGGAAAATGCAGTCACCCATTTGCAAATAATAAATACACAGAAATGTACAATGATATTATATACCCATCAATAACATGTTTGTATTTCCAAAACAAAGAATATACGTTCAATAGGTGTTGAATTGTTGAGACATTTGTCGTAAACAACAGTATGTTCCATCTTCCTCCCTCTCCCTTTCTCTCTATCTCTCACTGTCTTTTTTCTCTGTCTCCCTCTGTCACTCCCCGCTCTCTCCCCGTTCTCTCTGTCTCTCTGCCTCTCTCTGCCTCTCTCTGTCTCTCTGTCTCTCTGTCTCTCTGTCTCTCTGTCTCTCTGTCTCTCTCTCTCTCTCTATCTCTCTCTCTCTCTCTCTATCTATCTATCTCTCTCTCTCTCTTTCTCTCTATCTCTCTCTGTCTCTTTCTGTTTCTCATGCGTCTTCCAGGGTCTTGTACGTAATCTTGTAAGTACGTGATTGGTGCATGAAAAAAAATCTGTGAAGCTTCTTCCAGCAAGTGGTTTCACTCTGCCCTCCTATTTATGTGTTAAAACTAGACACTTTTGCAGAAGTACAATAAATATGGAAATATTGGCTTTAACTCAGTTTTCACATACATAGGCATGTTGAAATGTTTTTATATATCAGCCCTAAAGGGTTTCACAAATGCAATCTGCAGCACATTATTTTGGCAGTTTACCAGTGCGTGCAAACAAACTTGTATGATATTTCTCTCTCTCTCTCTCTCTCTCTCTCTTTCTCTCTCTCTCTCTCTCTCTCTCTCTCTCTCTCTCTATCTCTCTCTTTCTCTCTCTCTCTCTCTCTCTCTCTCTCTTTCTCTCTCTCTCTCTCTCTCTGTCTCTCTTTCTCTCTCTCTCTCAATCTCTCCCATGCTCTTTCTAACGCTCTCTCTCTGTCTGTCTCCTGCTTTGTCTTTCTGTCTCTTTTTCTCTCTTTCTCATCACCACTTGCATGTTCATTCGCATGTTTTCACAACACACATGCCCACGGTTACATAATTATACATAAAATATATTCATACACTTGCAGAAATGTATGTCAACACAAACAACAAACGGAGAGCACGCACAGTGCATCAATACACACACAGTGCACTCATACTTTTTTACTCCAGAAAGCGTACACATTACTAATTGGTGAAACAGTTTAACCATTTTTTTAAATTCCAGATGTGTCTCTTGGTCTGTAGATCCGACTGATTGCAGGGCGTGTTTTCCTTTTGAGTTGGGAAGTAAGTTATTTGTGTCTCTAACCGAGTGTTTAAAAATAATTAGTGACCTGCACTGAATTATAACGCATGAGTTTGTTTAGGGATGTTAACATTTATGTCACAAACAAAATCTGTGTGACATTTTTCTCTCAGTCTCCTCAGCTGTCATTCTTGGTGTTTATTTATGTTATGGGATTGTAGCATCCAAAATTCGAAATATTTTTATAAATACAAATATAACAATTACCACTCAGCTACAACACGTAGGGATCAGGCATTTGTCAATTTCAGGGACAAGTAGAGTTATTGATAACAACTTAAAGTCTTTCGAAGAAAAAGTTACTCACATATCTCGAATAGAAGTCCAGATATTTGCGGTTGAAGGAGGTGGGGGTGGCCTTGTTTCAGAGGAAAAATTAACGAGAAGATCGCCCCAAAGTTTGATTACTCCCATAGCTTGAGTCTTTGAAAACTAAATATTTACATTGTTTTGTGTCTTTATTCAACGTTTTTCAGTAAAATCCTCACAGAAATGTGTTTTTAAATGGAGCAGAGATGCGTTGAACAGAAAGAAAAACCTTCTATAAAAATTGCTAAACTGCTGGTCAATCGCCAACATCTTCGGTTTAATTATTTTGGCATGTGCCTGATTTTACCATGATGCCTCACCTATATTTTTGGTTTGTTCTTGTTTTACTTCCTTGTTCTCCGACGACGTCTGTGAGTAATCGTTGAGCTCTTTGTCTCGCTCACAGAAAACATGACCTTGATCCCGACGAAAGAAAGAAAATTTTATTGATAATCTGCGGGCCCTACACAGCTCCAGAACGTAGCCTGCCTCTGTAGTGTTACCCAGTACTATTTGAGTCGGAGCATAACATGTGTTTGCTTCAGGGTTTGTTTTCTGTTAACAATCAAAGTAGAGCAGCGCTGTTATGTTTCGTCAGTATAATGTGGGCTGAAACACAGTCCACTTTTCCGGCTGTAAAATAAGGTTGTGGAGCAGGTTTGGCGAAGAAAAGGTGACGTTTCTTGCGTCGGGGAGCTCCACCATGAAGTCATTGGACTGTAGCGCCTGCCATCAGATTCTGATAGCATCGAACAGAACACTGTGCGTATATGCCAACTGTTAGGAGCCGAAGGAAGATCAAGGCTACTTTCAGTAAGTATCCAACTCTGCAAGTGGTCAGTGATTTTCGTTGACACCACACGATGTCAAGGTGTATGACGTCAGAATCTCCACATGCAAAGCTTGCAATGGCAGAGGCGAATGACCTCAGACAGCGAGAGCGAGAAGTTTTTTTGACAAATGCAATGTTGTCTTTGTCAGATTCACAAACTGGCACAATGCAGAACAAGAAGCATGGTATCTCGAAGCAACAAACAAAATGAAAAGGTGATGATGATTCCTTGACCCGACACCTTTGCCCTTGCCACAATAGTTAGGAAAATGTATTAAAGTGTCCAACGTTGAAATACACAGTGTTCTCTATGAAATAATCAGCCAAGACAAAAACAATATGTCTAGATCTAGTATCATGTGTATACGAAGATACCTCTCCATATTAAATAATATCTCTTCCTTTCATTTCAGTGTTGCATTTCTTTGAGGTTGTCCGCGCGTGCGTGCGTACGTGCGCGCGCGTGTGTGTGTGAGAGAGTGTATATGTGTGTGTGTGTGTGTGTGTGTGTGTATGTGTGTGTGTGTGTGTGTGTGTGTGTGTGTGTGTGTGTGTGTGTGTGTGTGTGTGTGAAAGAGACAGAGAGAAAGAAATATAGATGGACAGTGTGTTTGTCTGTTTGTGTGTGCGTGCGTATAAGTGTATGTTAGTGCACATAACTGCATGCATGTTTCCGTGTGTATGCTTACGCAGAGGGATTTGTGTGTGTATGTGTGTGTGTTCGCCTGTGTGTATGTGCATAGGTGTGTATGTGTGTGTGTTTGTGTGTTTGTGATGTGTTTGTACGTGTGTATGTGTGTGTGGGCGTGTGTGTGTGTGTGTGTGTGTGTGTGTGTGTGTGTGTGTGCGCGCGCGCGCATGTGTCTATAAATATACATGTCAGTTTTATGTATGCGCATGTGTGTCAGTGTTTGTGGGTGTTTGTT